TAGTTAAGGTAATACACCAACCCATTAAATACACATTTTTAACAGCACCTTATTTAGAAGTATATTTGGATCTATATAGATTTATTAAAAAGTTTTTGTGTATTAGTGTTGATAGTAGGGCAGACAAAATTATTCATTTAAATTAACTTGAATAAAAAATGTAAGATGTCTTAAGGCATATCAGTTGATGGACAGAATAATACTCGTACTCTTCTTATAATTTTATATTTATAATGTTTTCACTTTATATTAAGAACACAACAACTTTGCATCGAACTCATAATTTTTGCAATTTTAACTATTGTATGTACTAAAAGGAGTACGACTATTACTTTACTGATATTTAAACTTATACCTCAGTTTTTGGATTGGAGTAGCCAATTAAGGATGTTCTCACTCTATTTTAATAAAACGTTTTGGTACGATCCTGACAGAAGAGCAGGAATATCTCATAATAGTGATAAGGTAACGGGCCAATAAGGTAATGGATTCCCCTCAACCACTGAGGTGAACCTCTGTAGGACCACATTCTATAAGACATATCTCTAACTGGTATCACTAACGATTAAGAGATTGCTAACAAACTAAACTTACTAACTGACTTTACTGAATTAATTGTCCCCTAAACTTCTCTTTAAACACTTATTATTGCTTTGAACAATAAATACATAAAAAATATTGAAATTTGGTTTGTTACTATATAAAGATATATAGTAAAATATATCTGTGTATACTATATATAAAAAATTTGTAATTTATTATTATTATAACATCAATCAACAACACAACAACTTTTTAGACTTACGGTTCGTTGCGATACTTTTGAGGGATTATTGCATTCTCCTCATGTAGTATAAATGATAGATATATAAAGAAACGTAATATTCAAAATATTAAAAATTTTATAGTTAACTCTTTAAATAAAACTTTTTAATATTATAAAGTAAAACATAAATTAATTTCTAGGGTGGTGTGTTTTTGGTTAACTTCCTCAACGTCTACGGTCCTGGCCTGGCTATACTCTTTGTGGTTTTCGTGGAAGCAGCTGGCGTTTTTTGGTTTTACGGAGTTGATCGTTTCTCATCTGATGTTGAACAAATGTTGGGCGCTAGGCCAGGAATATTTTGGCGAATATGCTGGACATATATTAGCCCAGTATTTTTATTGGTAAGTTATTTTTTATATAATGGCATTTTATATTTTTATTATAAAAGAGTTTATAATAGTTTATAACTTTATAAAAAAACATGACAACATTAGTTTCAACATATTAGTACACTATATGTTACTAAGTAATACAGAGAAATTTTGATTCCAGATACCTTATTAAATCCATTCCCCTATAGTAGCTTCATTCCACTATAGCAGTATTTATGTCATATTCAAATCACATATATAAAGGTAACTTTTGACGCTTATTCTTCAAACTTTAGTGAGGGAGTATATTTTATTTTTTTTTATCAAACTGCTCTTGTGGTCCAAAGATTGTAAATACATACATAGTTTCGATGTGTCCACTGGAAATAGTTCACTTTTATAAATCGATGCTGTCAAAAAAGCATTTGACAACTTAAACCGACTATACATTTGGGCAGCACTCTCCAAAAGAGGGATGTCAGAAAAAATTATAAACCTTCTGAAGGAGCTGTAAAAGAATACTACATGTCGCGTGATCCACAAAAGCTAGCTCTCTGAATCTCTTGACATCAAAACAGGTGTGGGACAAGGATGTCACCATTGCTTTTCAATCTCATGATACATGATATCCTCAGGAGATCATTAAAAAATACCAGGGGTATCCAATGGAAACTGTTAGAGTATCTACAAGGACTAGAATTCACGATGATGTTGCTGTTAAGTCACAGACTTTATGAATTACAACAGATGATATTGAATGTGTAAACTCTTTTCAGGAGACAGACCAAACTCCGAATTTTCAACATAAATATAAAATCTATCTTGTACTACGGCTGTGAAACATGGATCTCTTTAGACATATAGAGAGAGAGATGAAAGTGTTTGTCTACAAGTGTCTACGTAGAATTCTGAAAATATGGTGGCCAGATCGAATATCAAAGGAACGTCTGCTGAATCAAACCACTCAGAAAGCAACACAAAATAAGATAAAAATGAGAAAGTGGAAGTGGATAGGCTACACGCTTAGACAACCGAGAGATTACATGACAAGGTAAGTGCTGACATGGAATCCACAAGGTAGCAGAAGACCTGGTGCACCAGCGAAAAAGTGGAGAAGAACAATCGAAAGTGAGCTAGGTAAAGCACGATATACATAGAACGACATCTACAAAGAAGTACCAAATAGAGTTGGATTTAGAAGAATTGTTAAAGCTCTATGCCCCACTGGAGGAAATGGACAATAGTAATAGTAGTATAAATCTTTTGTTATAATTGATTATGACGTCGTGATCAGTGGAAACTACTATATTTTACACATCTTCGGTTGCAATCGTAATGAAAGCTTTGATTGTGACGGTATAGCAGTTGGAGATAAACGATCTCTAAAATTTTTAATCTAGCTTCACTGGGATTCCGATTAATACTTTTTATATTATGTTGAGTACCTCTATAGGATTAACTAAATATAAACACATCATATGTGTTTTTCAAGATCTTAAGATTATTTCAACGAATCTGGTCTATTTTGTAGACTTGGTATATTTGATTTCTATAAGGCATAAATATGGCATAAAATTTTAGCTGCCACTTTTTAAATACTTTTATAAACTCTTTTGGATTGTCATTTAAATTTTAACAAACAAATCTAACCTTTTTATTTATTTGGATTTTTTAAACAAACAATGTTTTCAATACCTTTAATCATGTTTTGTTATTTTATATACCAAAAGAATAATTTTTATAATAAGAATTTTAAATTTTTTATCTCATTTTTAACTCAATAGGCAATTTTCATATTTTCTTTCCTTGGTTATGAGGACATGCTGGGTGAGGAGTACAAATATCCTGAGTGGAGTATTAAAGTTGGTTGGGCTGTAACAGCTTCTTCAGTGCTATGTATACCGATGTATATAATATACAAATTTGTTTTTGCGTCCAAAGGCGGCCTTCGTAGACGCCTACATGAGACATTTAAGCCAGAAGACATAAATTGTGGGTCAGTGTTACCAGGTTATGGTACTTCAGTGTGACATGATCAAATCATAAACTCTCAAACAAAAACTTCCGTTGATAGCAGTAGCACTTCACAACAGAATTCCAACTACAAAAGCAACAACAAACTATTGGAATACAATAATTATTCACCAACAATATATAATAACATTGTAGATTTAAATGGTTACTACGCCTACTACACAAATTTAAACATTTATACTACAAATAAGAAACCGCAGCAGAATCGTAATGATATTATTGAGGAACCTAATACGAATAGCTTTAGTTATTTTAGCAATGTTAATGATAAACTTAATGAATATGATACTATTAGTCATGGTACTTGTCTTTGTAATACTCGTAATCGTAGTTGTAATTTTAAATGTAATTCTAATTGTAAAAATAATTATAAAAGCAATTGTAATTGTAATGAAACAGATACTGATGCTAATGCTGGTACTTGCAGCTTTAGTGGCTCCGATGCCAAAATAACAAAAATTTGTAAATTAGACTTAGAAAATTTTGCTGCTGAGGACAATAATTACACAATGATACTCAGCAGTTCTAAACCGCTTAAGTTCTCATTTGCTAGTGAATGGTTAGTTTAAGATATAGCGTAAGTGAATTGCTAAAGTACCTTGTACTCCCAAAAATCTATAGTTAATCTATCTGCCTTTTTACCATGTTTCTACATGTTTTCATGTTAAAGTTTATGTGTTGTTAAAAGTTTAAATTGAATTGTTTTTACCAAAGTATGATAACAAAAATTAATTGTGACTTACATATATTATACAAAAGTCCGCTCAAAAAATCTAACAAAACAGCCATTTGATAGATTTTTTAATTGTTAAAATGTAATTAAATTATTTTATAAAAACATTGATTATAACATTATTAGAATATAATGATGCTTTTGTAGTATTTCCATTTATAAATTTCTGCCAATAAGGTATAAATTTAATATAACTCTTCCTCTTAGTGATAGCCGCCATATTTTATATATTAAATAATAAATATAGTGCATAATAGATTTCATATCCTTGTCAAAACTAATGTTTATATATGTGGAAATAATTATAAGCATGAATATGTAATTGCTTGAGTTTCATTTGAGAACTAATAAAATTTTATATACAGAATTTAATTATTATAACTTAAATTATTTATACTTTTTTGTAATTATATTTTATTACAAACAATACTTGAGATAATTTATACTATTTAAAAATCCCTGTACAATGTTAATATTAGTTTTAATATCATTACTTATATAATACTAAATTAAAATAATTATAATAACGGATATATTTGTAAGAATTCTTTATTTTCGAAAACAAAAAACATTTGCAGAACAGCCATTTGCAATTGTTTTTAATAGATTTTGATAATTTAATTATATTTAGTTAAATATAATTTTTATAAAACTAAAAGTATTTGTTTTTTAATCAAACTTGATTCTGTAAAAAATATTTTATATATAGCAATAATTAAAAGCATATCCTTTTAAAGGGATATGCCTATTAACAAATTGAACTTCTCACAGTTTTACTAGCACAAATTCAACTGGTGACTTCAAAATACAGTGCTATTCAAACTCTTATATCAATACTCGCCTTTTTAAATTATAGTTCGATTTAAATCATAATACTTTGTTAGCAATATATACTTATGTATATTTATATTTGCATCAACTTATAGAGTTTCGTGTCTAACGCACTACCTGATTGATACGCGGTTATATATATTAGTGAATTTGTCATATAGAAATTTGTTATTGAAACTCCATATTAATACCTATATAATTTATATAACTATATATATAGAAACCTTATAATTTTTTAATTAAATTATATTTGTATTTATTCTTTCGTATTACACAGCGACCATCTATAACTAAAATATTTTTAAATAAAAAAAGAAATGTATATGGTTCTTCTTTATTTAATCATATACTATTTGAACTAATTTAACGACACCTTTATGGAATATCATTATACGAGAGACGAAGGTTTTTATTTAATGTTAGAACTCAATAATTAGCGCTTTTTTGAAATTGAAAAATAAACAAATGTTTTCCAAAAGTTTTATACTGTAAGAGTAACCGACAAGCATGTAAGGACTGAGTAAAAAAGTTTAAAACTAATGTATGTATCTTTAAGAAAATGAGATAATTACGATATATCAGTAACTCAGGTTCTCAATTCATCTGCATATAAATAATTATGTGTGTTGTATGAATGTATTTTACGTTTTCATAAAAACTGCAATGATCTGTACATTTTATTAGGTATTTTACAAATGCAGCAAAATTAAAGGTACTGCAAAATATAGTACTCAAGATATACCAATCATCAACTACCCCTTTTCCCATTTATTAGTCTTCTATAGTGATTTAACAGAAATTAATTAATTAAAAAAATTGCACAGTTTTACAATTATTAATTTCATTGCCATATGTTGCGTTACAGTGCATGTGAAATATTAATCGTAAAAGTTTTATAGCTATTGACTGCAGCTGTACAGACCGTATAACAAAGACCGTATACAAAAAAGGCAGTGACGGTTGAATATTTTTTGAATATTAATATAAAAAATGTTTTCATTACATATGCAATAATTTAAATATTTACTTCGTTTTTAAGAATAAATTTTAAACATACTTATTTTAAATATTCTTCAATGTTCAGTAAAATACATTTATATGCATAACATTTCTAGCAGTTTTCAACATTTATATCTCTAAGATATCTCTAAGACTATAAAATTATATTAAAAAATTAGCTGGAATTATTAAATAACCCAATAATTTCAACAATCTGCAATGAGTACAGTATAACTTTGCTTGCGTTTAATACGATTCTCCCTAGGTTTTATGTAGGCTGATTTAGGTATGACCTTTAGGTCCTTTAGCAAACTTACTTCTATTGCTCATTGGTCTATCACATGCGTCGTTTTCTAAATTACTTAAAAACCAATTTCCAACATTTTTATGTAAATGTATTGAAAGATTTAAAGTTTTTGACATTTGCTTTATAATTTTATAATTATAATAAATCAATAACCTATCATCTAAACGAGCAATCATTGACTTCAAATTGTAGTAAGTTTGTTAATTTTAGAAGTTCCTTTGAGAATTTTAGTGGAATTCAATGATATGCTACAGTAATTAGCAAGCAATAACATGGTGGTGGGTTGCTGGGCGTCTGCTCACATAGGAGTCCATGGCAATGCGTCCACAAACAACCACACATAGACTAGATCAACCAATTTTGTACACCGAAGCCTTATTGTGGAATATATTTGGTATATAACGAGGTCAAAATAATTTGGAGAAGTGGTTAGTAGAATTGAGCTGATGGTCTGCGTTATCATCTTAAAAAGATATGTCTGTCTAAGTTAACAGGATGTCGACTCTACTTGGAGGCAGATTCTAGTCACATTCTTTGACTATGCGGCCTTAAATATAGCTAAGAAGATATAAATGACCCGGGATCTTCTATCCTCTTTAGTTGTTAAGATGTTCTCAACAACTGACATTTTGATCTACATTCAAAATGCAGGGAATCCTCTGCTCTGTAAGGGTCGAATAGCAGCACAAACGAGCACTCATAGTCGCAGTTATCTTATTGCTGGAAGTTAATTCGGTTGTATATATATTATTCTATTATTCATTGTATAGATAGATATTCACATAGTAACATATTAAAAATATTACAAAAGGTGACTATTTTTTATATCATATGAATCATTCATTATTCGTTTCACATATTAACTTTAAAATTACAAATTAAATAAAGTTAGCATTTTAACACTGCCTATACTAGCTATACTCGCTGTCTTTAACTTTTTGATCTATGATTAAAATACTTTCCAAGATATCCAGATGTACAAATACATATATATGAAAATTTAAATATTATAATATGTTATGTTAGTTAATACCGGTCATCCTAAGGATCCGCTTAAGTGTATTGGCCCATAGTCGTACAGTATAAGAACTTAAAAGTTAATATTATATTAATTTCAAATGCAAACTTTGTGAATGAAAATTTTTGATATTTAGACCTTATTTTAATGCTACCGGAGCAGTCTGTAACTATGATTAGAATTTTCTAGATTCTATAAAAAAAATATTGCTATTACCATTACATTAACATTAATAAATAATTTTATACTTAAACATCTGTTTAAAAATTTTGTTTTTAATTTTGGAGTTGATACGTCGAAATTATTTTAAAGTCGGCTTTATTTTTTTAAGAATATTAACTTTTTTCGAGCCTTAATTTTTTGTATATTTCTATACGTATTTTGGCAAATTCGCTTTTATCTTCATCAGGAGAATTCCTAATATGGTGCGCAAAACCCCTAATATTTTTTTCAAGATCCTGTAGTAGAATAAAGTTGTGTACATAATTTTACCATGACGAATTTACAGATAAAAAACAGGGACTAAACGATTTAAATTTTTCTTTGCTAAATTTTAATAATTATAAAAAAACAATTGAAAATATTTTTTATCATATATATTTTATTATATTCAAAGCATTATTAATTTTGTATGTTAAAATAAGCAAATATAGGACTCAAAATAACAACTGTCTAACATGTACATATATTTTCGAAATAATATACATACATACATACCTGTTTATGCACAAAAATACTATTAAAATGCCGGATTGAAGATGAATGCAATATTGCAATAACAACAACAGGAATAGTAACGCGCCTAAACTCACGTCCTGATTCCAACAGTGGAAGATACAAATGCCGTAAATGCAACTGCAACAAAAAATACATACACACAAACCCTTAAAGGACTTTTAGAGTTTAATTCAGGTACAGTTCTTCCAGCAATTAGTGCTCGTCGTACTGCGTTCAAATGTGTCCTCACAGAAAGCCTAGTCTTTCCTTGCACCCTTTTGGTGCCAAATACAATTACGGTCGTTAATGCATATACAGAAGTGAACTCTCACAGAAAGATTTTCATTGCCAGATCAGGAATACGTATTTGTGTGCTTTTGTGTACCTCAAATTTGTGTTGTACTGCATCGATTCCTCATATGCGTTTCCATCGCATCATGCTTCCTTCGTATTGTAGTTTCCTACTTCACTTTGGTACATTTCAAGGCAACCTTTCTGCCTTAACCGTTTTTGTTTTGTTTATTTTTGTTTACACCCGTAGTTTCTATGTCTTCAGTTTTGTTTGAAAATTTTGGCGGGAAAATAATTTTGCCAATGTTTTTAGTCGAGAGTTCAGTTTATTTTTGATCCTGTATCTTTTTACAACTTATGTTTAACCTTAAAAGGAATTAGTTTTGACATTGTAATATTTTATGGAATAATGTAAAATTATATGGAAATTTATGCAACTACAATATACATACATACATATTTAGTATTAGAGTGTTTTTTGTACCTATGCAAACAAACGATATAAAATATTTAAAACAAAATTTCTTTGTTCCTAAAAGAATAACCAATTTTTGAAATGATATAAAATATGAATACATCTTCTAAGTATTAAGAGCAGAGAAATTGTCATTAAACGTTAATCGGATGATTTTTTTAATTAGATATAGTAGCACATTACTTACCACAAGGTACGACAAACTGCATCCTTAAATTTCAAACTTTATTAAAACTTTAATAGATACGAATACATTTATTTACAAATATGTATTATTGACATATTATCTATATGTATTATTTATAAATATGTAATTTAAAAAACAAACAAAAACCA